CAGATGACACATGAAGGGCGCTGAACATAATTATTCCTGCCGTAGTGCATATTTACCAAGGAAAAATATGGAAAGTAGAAAATAGAACCGTGGCTTAATAGATTAAATATAGAGTCCGACATCTTGTTTGGCTAATAGACACAATACTCTGGTATATAACATCACGTGATACTTTTCAAAGGAAAGTAACCTGGGAATATTATCACGTGATAACTTATACGCCAATAAAACTGAATTCTAAATGTTATCCACATTTGTCTTTCACATAAAACTTTGTGTACAATATTGGGCCTTAGCCCGCTTGAAGAATGTTTAACAGCTCACCATGTATACAAGATGTTTATAAATAAAACACTGTATCCTCCACAACTGTGGTTACTTCTGAATAAAAATCGTTGTTTGAATGAGCATATTTAGGATTTCAGTAGGCCTAGTCGCATGATTAATCTTTTTCCTCCGTATTTCCCGGTGACGTAGAGTCTAGTATATAGGTCTGGCAGCGGTGTATTCAACCCAATCCTTCCAAGTGATTGCACGCTCAATTTTCTTCCAAGTTAAGAAAAAATTAGGGCAGAAAGAAAGGAGAAACGAGTGTTGTTGTTTTTTATTGTCGAGGTCACGTTCAAAAAGCGCAACGCAGTTGGGTGACGTGCCTAGTTGGTAAAAAAGAAACTGTAGATCGATCAGGACCGGAGACCTGATTAGATCCTGGTCTTGTTTTGCATTGATTGTTGTAGGGAATGTCTCTCCGGACGGGTCGGATGCTAGACCGGCCTTGAATGCTCTAATTGGGTCAACGGACACTTCACTTGTATCCGTGTGTCACAAGGGAAATGATATTTCATTCAGCGCAAGTGGGAAGTCAAGTCCTTTGAAAGAGAGAAAAACTGGAACATTTCTACGGACCGTTAATGTGCACTGCGGAAGAACAGTTGCTCAGGCCAGTATCCCGATTTGAATACTTGTTTGTTTAAACGAATTTTACACAGTTAATGTATTTTTTTCTTTAGAAAATACACACAATGTATGAGGATAGCATGAGGTAGAGTATATAAAGCAGAGTACATGTACAACTTTTCCTGCATATGATAAAAGAGAACGTGTTTCGATCGAAGATTTAAATTTCCTTGAAGAACGTAATGGTCTACACGCCTGCTCTAGCATTGGCCGTAACACGCAGGCGCAAGTTTTCAAAGAATGGTCGGCGCACTTTTCTTCGAATTACAAATAAAATGTCAACAGAGGGCGCTCGCGATCTACAGAAGCGCCACCACGAGAAAAATCAATAGACCAGAATGCATTTTTGTTTTCGCAATTGACAGTTCATGGTCGGATGACAGCAAAAGCACGTAGTTTCGAAAGTTGCACAGTGCGGCTTTAATAATAAAGTAAGAGATGTCTTTCTCTTGATTTGAGAACAAAGAAGAACTTGATGTATAGCGTGACGAACTCGTATCAAGTCTAGGAGAGTTAAGAAAAGTGTGCTTGGAAAGAACATACGAAATATAAAATCCGGCTGGAGTGAAAGACCAGCAAAGGAAATTATCCACGATTAGTGTTCTGTCTAAACTAACTATCAGTAATAAACGAATCACTCCGTTTGGAAATTTGCCGCGAAAGTGTCCAAAAAATCGATTCTCATAATTCCGCCGCGTGGCAAAATCAACCTGTATCGATTTAAGCGAGCACAAATTAAAAACTCAAAATGATTCCATTGTGTGATGACGACTTTGGGTTATGCATCTACACTCGACAGTTTAAAGTATCGATTTTAAAGAATCGATACACACATTTTCCTGCGTTACTCAATCTATACTGGCATTTTTAGCTTTTACTTTTTATAACAGTGTGTTGTTAATATTTGTATGCAGCATTTTGTAATGTATAAAGGAGTCAACGGATGATGGTTTTTAACTGTCTTGAAATACCACGCGGCAAAAGAAATGAAACAAATTGAAGACATTATCGTTGAATTGATAAACAATCTCAGAGATCACACCCAGCCCTTTACCACAAACTATCTTTTTAATCACAATAAAAATGCTCGTAGTCTACCATTTTTACCCTTAATTTTCCTTATAAGGCAGCGATTGCAATTGGCGTGTCGTCTACGATGACAATTGAAAGGCGGTCCGTGTCCTCGCGCCGCGTCATATTCAAAGCGCGTGTGCGGGTAAATTGGCCTGGCGGTGAGATGACAGAGACGCCCGAACTGCACGAATCTCAGCTGAGATAATCACCTGGACGTCATTTTCAACTCGTCAAAACCACAATAAATTTACAGGTTATCTTCTCCGGAGGTGCACTTAAAACCGCTGACAACGCGTGGTTAAATAGCCCACTTTTCTTCATGTGGTGGTTTTGACTCGAGCCATCCATCAAACGCCTGGACATTAAGGCTACTGTCGGCAGGAACACAAACGTCTATGGATCTGGCCTCAGCCACTTTCCATAGGCGCGCGTGTAATTCTTTCCCTAGCCGTAGCCGAGTAATTATTATCGGACGCAGTGCATAAACTCCCCCGGAACTGTTTTGACTGATTGCCCATTTTTATCCAGCGAAAGTATGATGGATAACCGCGTGGTTATTAATTTTCCTGAAAGCTGCAATCTCAGTTCTGCTCGCTTGCATTTTAATTCATTTGTCGTGTATTTAGGCCAAGGTGTACAGAGAGTGATGCAAAAGAGAAACACGAAACAGCTAAACTGTCAAGTTCCATTTGTACGATCACAGGTGTCTATCAGCAGTACTAAGCTACTGCGCTTTCTGCTCTACATTTGGGTCCATTAATTTTGTCAAAATATCTTCTGTCGTGTCTACGAAGAAGGGCTATAATGTTAGAATTATAACTTCATACCTTTCGGAGCGCGTGTGAAGCCGTTTGCGGACAAGCTTTATGTTGCGTCTGCAATTTTTTTTATGTGATCAAAGAGATGAGAATATCCATGTAGTTCGAACGAGTTGGAACAGAGAAATACTTAAAAACTATACACACTAGCCACAAAAGAACTTTTTCCTCAATTCTTTAGTACCCTCTATGATTTTGCAAGCATAAGGCGGCTTATCCCAATGGAAAAGCGTTAGGTTTTTAATCTTGATAATACAGGGTGAGTCAAAAAGAAAGTAACCAAATTAGATTTTTTTTTTTTTTAAATATGTGGCCTGATCCATTTCATAAAAATAACATATAAGTAGATGTTATTTTTTATGGAAAAGCGTTAGGCTTTAATCTTGATAATACAGGGTGAGTAAAACAGAAAGTGGTCGAATTAGAAAAAACAATATTTTTAAAAATATTTTGCATTGATCCATTTCATAAAAATGACATAAGTAGATGTTATTGACTAACATTTTACTTAATTTGCATACTTTATTCCCAGATTTTTTTTTTTTATGAAAAGGTCACAAAATTCAGCTGTCCACCACTGACCATTTACCGTCTTACGAACTGGTGAATAACCATTAAAAGACAATGAAACGTGGACGTTTTCCCACCTCCATGAATGAACGAAAACTTGCAAAGGAAAACAGACCAAAATCGCCATCAATATTTCAGGGGGAAAATCGACTTGTTCCTCATATTCAAAACAAAAAATCTGACAGTAAAAAAGGAATGTTTCAGTTTTGACCCAACTGATTAAAAATTCCATTTGTATTTGAATGCATGTGTGTTATCCGTAATTCTCACTCAGCTCAATAGCTTCCAAGGGCATTCCATGGATAGCTATAAAAAATAGGTTCTTTAGTAAAACATGCAAAACATCCGATAGCATGGATAAATGTCAGTATTTTTTAGAAAAGGGGAAGAACATTCTCATTTTAGACATACTTCATTGGTGTATCAGATTTGATTGCTTTTTTATAAATAAGAATTATTATTATTATTTATTCGACGCAAACGACATTACAAATTACAACATAACACGCGCGAAAGGGGAAAACACAAAAGCATAAACACTCAAATGAAAAAAAAGACCAGAAAACGAAACAAACTTAATTATACAAACAAGATAAAACAAATAACAGGATGGAGGCAGTAAACAAACAAACGAGCTAAACAAATATTTAAGATTCAATATTAATCCAGGTAACTTTCCTTTTCGATTCACCCTGTATACATCGCAGTTAAAATACCAATTTGATTAATTCACGCAGCTTTGGAAGCAAACAAACGACTTATGAACGTTTTTTAAAACAAAAACTCTGGTGAATTTGGAGGGAAGGTTGAATTCGGTTTGTTTGCCTGCGGTACGCCTCTTCACCGGTGTCCCCCGGTCAACCCGGTGCGATTCCCGTCGGGTCTCCGAACGCGACGTGGACTGCATGTCCTCATTGCCCTTTCACTGCCTGGGATATCCATTCCAATTGCAAATATTCTTTCCGTGAATTTGGTTTTTACTCCCACCTGAATCGAAATCGTTTAGCTCGTTTGTTTTCCGTCTAAGTGCAAATTTATCCCCTACAAATTTCTCCCTCTGAGAGGAATATCTAAATACCTTCATTCAAAGAGGATTTGAGCAGGGAAAGGAACACGACAAAATCACCCCATTGCAATTCCGTTTTGACCAGTTTTTGTATTACACTCTGATATTTGCGCGTACATTTTTGCATTCTACAATAAAGTGGTTTGTGAATTAGGTATACGATATGACGAAGTAACAAAATCGGAGTCTTAATTAAAGTCGTCGTCGATTTCCAAACGGGTTCCGTGGGGTATACACCGTTACGTCAACACGTGGACTATCGTCAAGGTAATGTACACAGGAAAGGGGCGTGACTGTGTGGGGAAACGGGGCGCCGCATCACGAGCCGAGCAGGGGTGAACCGCTGAACTAAAATACTGGAGGGGCATACCTGTTGACTGCCGAATTGTTAAATGGGACCAAAGGTCGAGATTGCTGTTTGCAGAGTCGAAGACCGAAAAGCCGCAGTGCTCTGCTTGTGATAAACTGGCCGTTATCCGATTACAGCGCATCATTTAGAGATTATGGTGCCTAGCGGTGGCAGGTTTTTTTGTTGTACTGTTTTATTACTCATAGCTTCTGCGCTTCGCATTTAATTTCAGTGGTGACGCTACCGTATCTTCCCGCGCACACCAATGGACGATCCCGGCGCGGTGAAATTGGGCGGAAACTGATGATGCGAAAGCGACACACAGAGTGATCGTAGAGGAAGAGAGACTCTGCAATACAGTGCCTCTCTTGAAAAGTGTCAGTGGTCTAGAAGATATCGGAGGGGTGTCAGTGGTCCAGAAGATATCGGAGGAGTAGGGTGATATTTTAAGGCACGCCTGGTCTAAGTTACCGACCTGCGTAAACTCTTTGCTTCTAGACAGAGCAGCCCAACAATCCATCCGGTTTCACGGAGTGCCCTGATCGGACAGTGATATAGACTTTCTTGTCGATTCAAAACTCTTGTTTCGCTCACAGTGGTTGGAGGAGGAACACCATTAAGGAGCGGGCGTACTCCGAGTCTACCTATGCTGGATAGATTCTATACCGAGTTTGTGCTCCGTGTGCAGCAGTGGAAGTAGCGAACTCAGCGCAGCGGGGAAAATCCACGGCCGAGATTGCTGTCCTGTTTTGGCAACTATTGCGGTGAGTTTCTTATTAAACGGAAAATTGTGTATACAAAGTATTATGTCATGCAATGATTCGCCAACATTTGTTGTCTTGGTTTTTTTAAAGACATGTTCTTGTCTGGAAGATGTAGATTTTAATTGTGGGTTTTGGTCTCCACCAACGTATTTTCATAAGCACTGGTTTCTAAGTGAAGTCAAGTCCGTCACGAGCCAATGTGTCCCATCAGGCCGGCGTTTATATCCGGTTTCAGTGGCATGAAACGACTGAGATTATTTCTACTCCCTGTGGATGGGATGCCAGTCCATCGCAGGTTACTCCCCAGCTAATGCCGGTACCCATTTATACTCCTGGGTGGAGAGAGGCAAGTGGGGGTGAGGTGGCTTGCCCAGGGACACAACATATGGCCAGCAGCTGGATTCGAACCCCTGACCCTCTGATCATGAGCCACAAACCCTAACCACTAGGCCACACTCCCCACTGGTTTCTTAGTGGTGTCACAAAACAAGTAATAATATACCTCATAAATCATAAAATCATAAATACCTCGTGCTGCTTAGTGTAGATATCTTAGCCACTCGTTGACCGCCCTCTGTCAGCTCCATGGCTTGTGGCCGAGTGCTGAGATGGCGCACTTGTAACGGCAGGTTGTCGTGGGTTCGAATCCCAGCAGATTAAGCATGTGCAATTTCCGTTGCCAGTTACCCCAAAGCAGTGACTATTATATGCAGTGCTTGTAAAATTACGTCAGTGAATCGAGTAGAAACTCTATACAATGTATAACATTCTCCTCAGATTCTCTGTGCTGTGGGAATGCGAGACACATCCTAGAACCCATGCAGCATTCGAAACCCATTCATTCAAAGAGAGTAATATCCAATATAATTGGTCCCAAGTCAAGCGTTCAGGATGTCACCTCCGTGATGCGTATTCCGTGTCGACGCCCCATTATCAACCCAATCGATATGAATGCACCGTCGCGCGGCGAATTGGCGAATTTAAAATTTGCGCCCGAGGGCACGCGCCTAGAACATCGCTGACTCGAATTCAATACGGGACGAGGGGCAGTTACATGCACCGCACGCTCTGTTTAATGTGCAAAAAGACTCATTCTGCCTTAAAATAGATTCAAAAGCCCGTGCTAAAAGGTGCGAGGGGTCGATTGTTAGCAGAACATCTGGTCCACCGGTTTTCAAAAATTGAGACATTTCTGGATTGGGCAAAGGGTTTGGGAGATGCAAAGTTATCTAGGCCATATGTGAATATTCTCATTACTTTGTAAATTAATTCCCCACTGAACAGGTGTAGACTGTATACATGACACCATTTGTCCACCTGTGACAACCCGGTTATGTCAGTCGCGATTGTCGAGCTTGCTTTTGGGACGTCAATTTTTCAGAGCAAGCGCTAAGATAACAAACAGATATCGGTCAGCTTTCCAACGTAATTATAACTCCTGTCATTCTATTGAGGACGCCAGGGTTTGTTTTCCATATGCCTGTAATTTCGATAATTGCTGATTCAGTCGCAATCAGCAATTAGTCGAAAAGACAAATAAATTAACAAAAGGTAAAAGCATCTGGGTTGATCAAGCAGGGGCACAAACGAGAACGCGAGCACGCTAATTACCATAAAGGAATTCAGATTTTCGGCTCAGGTATATCCGATAGCATGCATGTCATTATCAGAAATATGATATGGAGACAATCGGAATTAATCAACCGAGGAAAGGATGTCTTTCCCGATGGAACTAGGCGAAGTTGGGGCCTGCTCCAGTCGGGATCCTTTCTCGGCTGTACGTTAAAATGATCATGGTTATTATTTTTTTTATGACTCGGTAGCCATAGTCTCTGGATTAATGGTTGGCCTGTCAATCATCTTGGGTTGAAGTGCTGTCGACATATCTGGCAATAATGGACTGATAGGGACCGTGTCTAAATAGCTTTTTCCCCCTCCATTAAAGCCTGATTTTTGCGATGCATGCTGTCTTGAATTAATTGTAAATCCCAAAGCTATAATGCTATGACGCAGTAGCCCTGTCTATATTCAAAATATTGAAGAAAAAAGTGTACATAGCCCACTATGCGGATTGTGTTTTGTAGGTAACATGAAATTCAAAAGGTAAAATAAGAAAACAATATTTCAGGGTACCAACCAACAACTAAATAAACCTCCCGGAATCAGAAGAGCCACTGGCAACTTTCTGTGGCCAATCAGAATCAGAGTCACCGTTTCGGTAGCCAATCAGAATCAGAATATCAGAAAGTCACAGCCGATCAAAAACACTCCTGTGCGCTTACTCTTCTAATGCCGGTAGGGTTGATAATCTTGTTTTCACCAAGGTGACAAGAATTGTTTAAGAACATGCATGCCTTTGCCTATAACTCCAAATTTGTCATGATTCATATTCTTTTAAGAAGTTATGAAATCAAATCCATAAGCTGTTCCAAAATAAAAACAAGTCCTAATCATAAAACTGATACCTGCAATAATTAGACTAATTAAAAGTAGGGTTAATAAGGTGATATTTTTGACTTCTAAATAAAATGAGGATGTTTAATAGTAAGGGGAAACAAGTGGGGCTTAATGTACAGCAAACAAACTAAGAGTGTCGAGCTTGTTTCGTATTATCGTTTCGAATTCAAAGACTAGTCAGTCTCCTTCGTGTTAAAACTGGACACGCGATTTGCAGCCAACCCCTCTATAGACTTCTTTCAAAGGCAAACGTCGTTCGTTCGAACTCAAGCATAGTCGTAATGTACATTCACGGGTTGTGCGGGAACCGGGTGCTATACGGGTTCCCGGCTACCCTAGAAACCCAACCCCAAAATTCAAATCCCGAAAATTGTTTGAAGGGCTTTATAGCTTTACGGTAGCATCATTTGTCACTCGTTAAAATGCACATAAACGTGAAATCTGTTTTAGTTTTCCATGTAGCCTGGTTTTCATATTGAAAATTGCCCACAAATGGCATTCAAACCTTTCTTTTTTATTGTCTGTGACGTTACTGAGTAATTTGTAAAGTTGGTTCACGGGTACCCGATCCCATAATCTGGAACCGGTTCCTCAGACATCAGCGGTCGGGTAAGTCGAGTACCCGGTTCCGACGTACAGCACTACTCAAGCTTGCACACAGTAAATGTCATTCCTTATCGATTTCAATGCGCCTCGCGACCTTATTCTCTCCCGTGTCAAGATTTCGCGTCGATAAGTATAACTTAATTACTGTGCTCAGTAGTTTTTACCCCTTCACGTGTTAATTCAATCTGTGCGTATGAAATAAACAGTTAACTTAATATAGTTCCAATCCAAACCGGGCAAGTCATACGATAAGATCACAGCTTTCCTGCAGGCGCCTGAAACTTGGAAAAATATTTTTGTATAAGAGCCAAATAGTGGTGCAAAACGTTTAACTTAATATCAAGTATAAATGTTTTGTTATTTCCAAAACCTCAAACAGTATATAGCTGAAAGTAAAATGTGTCCATTAAGGTGTATAAAGTCATTTGGAAAAAAGACTTTAACATTTACCTCGCCCATGAAACACGTTGTTTTTATTTTGCGGCCCGCATGGCTTTACTTCTCGGGGCCTCCATCTGCTCAAATAGTCCAAACCTCTTTTGCACAGCCCGTATATCTTTTCCGTTTGGATCAACCGAGAAATGTTTTGATACGGGCGCCCAAGGCGACATGTAAAAGCCAACAGAAATTGACGCACGTGTCATTTTTAATTCTACGTAGGCCTCAAAGTGACTTGTCCCATATGACAACTGTGGTGTTTTTTTACACAGTCACTCAAAATTGATTACTTCGGTTATTTGTTGTACAGGTTTTTCCACGAACGAACAAGAAAAATTACACCTTAGAACACAATGCCAGTAGTAACCAGCAAATCATGAGTAACATGAATGTAAGAGAGTTTGGATATTATTTTCTTTTATACAGCATGTCCAAAAAAGTGTCCGTCTGATTGTTTTGATAATAACTACAAAACCAGGAGATCAATTTTAATTTCTACTGGTTGTGTAGATACTGCCAAGCATTGACCTCAACCCCTATGAGTTTCATTTAATTTCAGTCACGCATCACTGCACAATTGTCAATTGAGCACAACAGCATGTTTGGACACTGTGACCAAGTTCCATGCCTTAATCACTTTCAGTGCTGTGTTATGTAAGATGTGTAAAATCCTGCATGTTGTGGGGAAAAAGGCTGATGTGGTTTGGGATTGGAATCATTTGCCCTTGAGCATTAAACTCATGTCTTGCCATGATGACTGATAGCCAGGCAAATGTTTCCAATTCCACTTGCAGCCCTTTTCACAACATGAAGGATTTTACACAGCTTACTTAACACAGCACTGAAATTGAATGAGGAAAGAACTTGGTCACAGCGTCCAAAAATGTTGTTGTGATCAATTGACAATTGTGTAGTGATGCGTGACTGAAATTAAATGAAACTCATAGAGGTTGAGGCCAAGGCTTAGGAGTATCTGCACAATCAACAAATTTCAAAATTGGCCTCATGGTTTTGTACTTATTTCAAAAATAGTCAGACGGACACTTTTTGGGGACATATTGTACTTTCTTTGCAGTAAAAGAAAGACAGCTTGTATCACTTAACATCAAAGTAATAAAAGAAAGAAAAAGGCAATAGAGGTAAATTGCAATTTGAGACTATAGGTCAAAAAGCTCAAAGCTTCATCGAACTGAAACCATGATATGGATTGCCTTTAAAGTCATCCCCACGAGAAAAAAAAGTTTTATTTTATAGAAATAGATAAAACAAAAATGTCTGTCATATTTTTTACGGTAAAATACGGTAAGGCGCATTTAATTATGGAGATTAAGCAGAAACTGTTGGTTTGTTTAAAGCAAAAGAAAAAGGCTGTACCATTTTAACACACTGTGTTTACACACATGCCGGGACCGTGTATGATTAGCGGCAGGCGTGTCTTTGAATTTGAGTATTATTTTTTTAGGTAATCGGAGAGACAATAATTTAAACAGGCTAGAAAA